CCTGATGTAGAACATCACGCACAGAGCGTGGGCAGCACTGCCAGTGCCTCGAGAACTCCAGCATCCATTTCAGCACTGTTTCACCTGAAAACCTGCTAAGGATCTTTGATAAGTACTGAGCAAACTCTGTTTTGCTGTTAGAGGGTGACAAAGGCTGCTGGAATCAGATCCTTTGATGCCCCATGGACACAGAGCTCCACGTTGGCTGCTTGTCCATTTGCATTTGTTCAAATGGAGCCGCCCCGAGCGCCGTCTTTTTTCCATTTCCTATCCCTGGCCACCTTCCATTACCCATGAAAGCTGCAGCCCTGCCCTTTTCACAAGGATGACTGCCAAGACTGTTGCATCATAACTGCCAAGCCCTGCTTTACCTGTGTTAGCGCTCCATTCATACACTGTTTGCTTTGGGTAGAAGCACATGCCCACAGGGGAGATTTCCTCCCTCCTGTATTTAGTTTTTTGGACACTGATGATGTTACTGCAGTGTGTTCATCGCGGGCTTGTCTCTATCCCTTTCTGTATCTGCTTTGTAGGGGTTTATTCCCACTGTTATCCTGCGTTTGGGACTTGAGACCAGGAAAGCTTAAAGGAAGGAAGTTTAAAGGAAGTTCAAAGAAATATCCCCATAAAATATGAAAGGGAGTGGGTGTTGTCCTGGGTTCTATGTTGTGTTTGTCAGTTTATCCTTGGTTCCTACCAGTGTAAGGGGAAATCACCCAATTGTGCCAGCGAATGCCAGCTGAACAGTGTGAGTGACGTGCCTGGGGTAAGCTGACACTACCAGGGCAGAGCAGATAATTGAAGCTGGACCCAGTGTTACCTTTGGGAAGCCTCATTTCTCTTGGAAAGCCCCTGGCTGTCAGCTGGTGTTACCTTCACCTGCTGGCCTGGTTGGAGACCCTGGAGGGAAGGAAGCTCACCCAAATAGCTGGGCTGTGTCGTAGGAGAGGTCCCTAGTGGAGATGAAGGTGCGTAGTACTTTGTAAGAATACTCTGTGAAATGGCAGCAAGCATCTCTTCCAGTTCCACCAGGGAATAAGATAAAAAACAGTACCCTCTTACACTTGAGATCTCCACAGCATTCTGGCTCCCATTATCCCAATTATGCAAAGCCCTTTTGAGTGGGGCTGCTGGGTCAGGCAGATCGTGGCACTTCAGATGGTGCTAGGATGCATATCCATAGAATAATTCCTCGAATCCCTCCTAAGGGCTGCCCCATGGGGCATGCTGAGCACAGGGCTGCCCCGTTGCAGAGCTGCTTCCTCGCAGCACCCAGCAGCTGCACCTTCAGGAAGATGCAGTGTGGTTGAATGTTTCCCAGGGCTGTTGTGCTGGTGGACCTCAAAGCTGTGAGAGCAGAGCTTCATATGAAGCACTTTGAGGTGCATGGAGGGATGCCAGCAGTCCCTCAGCTCCACGGGGGGCACCTCAGAACAGAGGAATAAAACCTGGAACTTGGGACAGCTGAGCTCTGCTCTCCTGAGAAATTGAGCAACTGCTGGGATTTGTCTTTTGCTGAGAAAGCACTCAGTCTGTTGTTGTGTGCCAGGGTCTGTGTGGTTCTGGTGGGACACTCTGTTGTGTCGGTTTGTTTTTGTAACCCATCTCACATTGGAAAGCATTTAAGCGTAGTAACTTCACTGCACTCATTTGGGAAAGACAAATATTATTGCATGGTGAGGAAAGCAAAGCAGAGAGACTGTGACTAGAAGGGCTCTGAACCACGACTTCTGTGGGAGAAGATCTCAGCCGTGTTCTGTCTCTTGCCCGAAATGTTCTCTTGTTTTTACAAAGCCACCGCTATGTTCTTAAGGGCGAAATGCAAAAGCTTGTGTTGCTTTTGGGTTTTGAGCTGCGTGGAAGCTTTTGCCTTTTATGTACAGCCTACAGCCCGACCAGCAGGCTTTGTACACAACCAGAAGGTGAAAAACGATCCCAGGCCGGCAGCCTGCTGGTTCAGCCTCCACGCTATTGTCAAAGAAACAGAATGCCTAAATGGGGAAGAGAATGTCCATGTTGCACCTCCAAGGGCTGTCTTCACTAACGGGAAAATGTGCTTTTAGATGTGTTAGCTCATGCTTTAAATATCCCTCTGTAAACAAGGGGAGGTTTATTTTTAGCTTAATCGCCGGTCAAAGTGAGTCCTGGATCCGCAGTTCTCTGCTCATCCTCCCTGCTAGGATTCACCAGGGGTGCTTCCAGCAGATGAATTATATCTGCTTGGCGTTGTCTGTTTTCCTTCCCATACAGTAAGTTGACCTTGCTGTCTATTTTAGTCCTTTTTCCTCCCCGTTTATCTGCACAGCGTTCCTCTCAGCAGATGTTGGAGGCAGATGTGCCCCAGCCTCCACTGCTCGGTGTTGCTGGACCTGGGGACGTGGTGTCTTTGCAATGTGCCCTATCTCCTGAGCAACACGTGGTGAAGGCGTTGTGTGATAACGGGTTATATTTGGGGGAACGTGCCTGGTGTGTGTGCTGCTTTCCTCATTGCTTGCTTTCTGCCATGTGTAGTGCAGCCAGAATGCACTGTTCTGTCACCTGCAGCCTTGCTGCGCTGGGTCAGTTCCAAGGCACCACCTTCCAAGCAGCTGTGCTCCTCTAAGTGCCAAATATGTGATTTCAAAAAAGAGTGTATCTAAAAATCTTCATTCTTTTAGTTTGTGTTGGCTCCTTTGCTTTTCTTTGTGAAGATTTCCAGCTCTCTCCTTTTCCACCTTTATGCTCTCTTGTGTTCAGATGACTCGAGATCCATAAAGCTTTGCAAGGAGCAAAGTAAAAGCCGACAATCCTGAAAGCAGCTACAGTGTTCTGGGACATGGCAGGGTGCTGCTCTGGGGCTGGTTGCATCCTTCCCTGCCCAAGGTTCCTCTACCAGCTTTTCCTGCAGCCCTTAGCTGAGCAGTTTGCAGCTCCTAAATCCTCTTCTGCTGATGCCTGTCACCTTGGTGCTAGGCTGTAGCAGGCTGTTAGGCCCTTGTGAATGAATGATGCAACTTGCTTTCCTTCTTGCCTATGTGTGCTCTGAGTCACCAGGAAGTCCTGTCTCTCTGTGACATTCATTGGAGCTGTGAGCCTCATCGTTGCTGTCAAATCCAGAAACTGGAGTCCCTGGGGACTGGGCTCTGCAGCCATCTGAGCACACTCATCAGTTCCAGCATGGCCATTCCCAGCCCTGCTGTGGGCTCCCTGTGCTTCTCTGAGCTCTTCCCAATGTGGTCACTCAGGGTAAGGGTGGAGGCTGACTGCAAGCCAATATGACCCTTTAAAATGTCAGTGCTTGTTCCTCCTCCCATCGTTTCATTTCTCAGTATGCAATTCAGCGTGCAAATTCCCCTCGTGCCCTTTCTGGAAGCAGGACGTGAGCTGATGAGCAAGAAAATAATCCTCTGTGCCATGAGCCAGAGAGCCAAGGCACTGCTGCTCCATCCTACTGCCTCACGTTGGGCTGGTGCCCACATCAGTTTGAGCATGGCTGTAATTTAGGGGTCATCTTGCTTCAGAGTAGGGGTGTGGTGTGGTTTTCACTATGATGCTGTGTGTGTTGGGGATCTCAGGGCACGGTGCACTCTCACTGGGCAGTGATAGAGTCATCCAGCCACTGTGTTTCTCCCTTCTACCCCATCAGCCTTCCTCCCCTCTGTCTGTAGCACACATGCAGCTTAGCTTGCCTGGCAGTAGTCTGTCCCAGCAGTCCCCTGTACTGCAGGTAGAGCGCTGTGCTGATGGGCTGCCTCGCATCTCCTCTGATGAAGGCTGAAATACCTCCATCAAATGCTCTGGGCTTTAAAACATGAGCGTAGCCTGTGAGCAGGAGAAACAGCTCTTTGGCTCTCTGAAAAGGTGCTGTGAGGAGTGAGAAGAGCCTTGCCACAAGGGTAGAGGCCAGAGCGAAAGGGCAATGTGTGACAGGCACATGAAGGAGTGCAGTGGCCAGGCTGTATTTAAGCACGTCCCGTAATGGGGCAGCACTTCTGGACTCTCTCCATCCTGTACCAGCTTTAGAAAAGCTTGCCTGGCTCCCGGGGGGGTAAAAATACAAGCTGCAATCTGAGTGGGAAAGTCTCAGAGCCCTGGGGGGGAGAAGCCTGTGGCTAAAGAAGGCAAGATGACGTCTGTCCTGCTGGCTGTGGAGGCCTGCCATGGGCACTGTGCTGACACTGTGCAGGGAGTGAGGGGTGACATCCAGCACGTGGGGCAGCAGCATTCCCTGCGTGACATTTGCCTGTCTCTGTGACATGCTCTGGCAGTGGCTGTGACAGTCTGTGCGACTTTCCTGGCACTATGGGGGGGTGTGTGTTCAGTGCAGGAGGAGAGCTTCCTTGGGTTCATGGGGTTCTCTTCCCATTTGCCCTGCTGACCTGTGGGCTTTGTTTGTTTCACAGCTCGCTGAATGTGTCAGGTCTGCCTTCTTTTCTTTCATGTTTAGGCAGCACAAAGTGGCCCTGATGGCCTCTTAGGTGCTATTGTTAAACTTGGAACAATACATCAGTTCTGGAAGCTGCCCAGCCATCTCTGTGATGTTTCCGCACAACTACAACATCAATTGCCTGGGCAGGGATTGCAGAGGACTGCTTTGATGCCATTGGCCCCAGTCACCACTTTTATTTAGATGCCCTCAGAAATGTTCTTTCCGATGCAGAAGGACGATTCCTCGTCCCTAAAAGCTCGTGCTTCACTCACACTGCTGTAGAAACCCAGCACAGAATGGAGGAGGATGGAGAGCAGTGTGTGACAAGTTGCTATTTCAGGCCCTGGGTGACACAGTTCAAAACGTGACTTTTGGTACCCAAAATTCGGCCTACGGTTGAGGAAGATGGCAGTGCCCTGAGAACCCCAAAACCAACACACACAGCTGCAGCTGTGAGCTCGGTGGAGTGCATGTTTATAAGCTGCTCCTCGAATTTGTTTGGGCTGTAGCAAAAAGCAAATGCTGATCTGTCCTGATTTGTTCTCGGTGCTTTGCTGAATACTGACACATCTGTCCTGTCCGTTTCTTGCAGTGCTCCTCACGGCAGTGAACTGCTACAGTGTGAAAGCTGCTACCCGTGTTCAGGATGCCTTTGCTGCAGCCAAGCTGCTGGCGCTGGCTTTGATCATCATTCTTGGCTTCGTTCAGATTGCAAAGGGTGAGTACGTCTCCTTTTCCTTTTGAAGGTGGTGCGAAGTTGGAGCTTCAAAAAACCAAGTAGATAAAAATGGGAAGATAAGAAAAGAAGCCGAAGATTTGCTTGCTTTCTTTTTTTCTTTCTTGCTTATTTGCCTCATGCAAGTATAAAACCCCCTTATAAAACCCCCTCAGACCTGCAGGAACATTTGGTTTCAAACCCCTTTGATCAGCTAATGAGTACAGATGTGCTTTACTGGCTGCTTTTTTTAATTAGTTTGCTTTTATAAAAGCGACAGGCTGCCCGTTGAGGCTGTGGATGCCCCGTCCATCCCTGGAGGTGTTCAAGGCCAGGTTATATGAAGCCCTGGGCAGCCTGGTTTAGCATTAAATGTGGAGGTTGGTGACGCTGCCTGTGATGGGGGGGGTTGGAACTTTGTGATCCTTGAGGTCTCTTCCAACCTGGGCCATTCTGTGAAAAGCAAAAGGAGTTTTCTCAGTGGCCTGCACAGCCCTGCTTGGTCAAAGTGGACGTATAGAAATCCTCCCCTCTGTGCAAGGAGGATGTGCATGTTGGTATTTTAATTCCTGTTTCAACTATGGGAGCCAGTGCTGTCTTTGCAGAATTTCTTGCTTTATCAGAGGTTTTCTTTTCTTCCAGCTCAGTGCCTGCACTCAACAGGAACATTGTTGAAGGCTTATCACAAAACACACCTCCCTCCTCTTCGTATCTCCCTTGTTTTGCCGAACATTTTTCTCTCTTAGAAGTAAAAATGAGCCTTTGTTGGTTCTTTCATGTTTTACAAGTGAAAGTCTTCACGATTTTGTTTGTTTGTGGATAATAATCTTAATTTGCATGCTCAGAATCCCCTGCCCTCCCCCTGAGTCTTTGCTCCTTCTGTTGAGGCTGAGCCCTTCCCTGCCCCGGTTCTGTGGATGCAAATACATGTTGAGTCTGCAGGCTCCTATCTGTAAACAAGAAAAGATTTTGGTCTTGTGTATAACGTCCCATACCCACCTGTCCCACTGGCTCTTTACCTCCTGATAACTTGTCATCTCCAGTTCTTCTCCTCCTTTTCTGGCTGCCAGCGATGCTTCTGACCTATGAATGGAGTCTTTTGTGCAGCTCTCTCCTGCAGAGCTGTCCTCAATGCTGCTTTCTTGTGCCCTTAGCTGACCTGGCACAGTGCACAGCCAGACAGGATCAGGGGCAGGGCTGAGCACGTGGCTTGCACCTTCTGTGCTGTCTGAGAAAGGCTGCTCTCAGCTGAAGCTGTGCTATGTATGAAGCTATTTCCCTCTGCATGCATCTTTGGGGTGGAAGTAGTATGAAACCTATTACAGCTGCAAGTTTTTTGTAAGGTCTCAAGGTCCTCTGAGCTGTATACATGTTGCCATACAGCTCCTTTCGTGTGACATTTGTTTTCCCACTGCACCACATGGCTGCTTAAAGCAGGGAGAAAACACAAGGAGAAGCAGTAGTTAGACCATAACATCTGAAGGCAAAGACCTCTTTCTGCTGTGTGTGCACAACACTCAGGGTAAAGGAGACTGGATCAGAGTGGCAGCCTGGGGATGGAATGAGGCATTCCTTAGAGAGCCTGTATTTGTATGCAGGGACACACTGCTGCTTATCTGAGCTATTTTGCAGCATGCTGCCTGGGTTTCTGCCCGTAGTCTAACATGGATTTTATTAACTTCCTAATGGAAGTTGCAAGCTCTCTGGTAAATCATTGAGAATATACCCTTCCCTTTAGTTTCTGCAGCTTTCTCAGCTTTTCTTCAATGATCAGCAGGGTTGGAGCAGCTCTCCTATGAAGGAAGGCTGAGGGAGGTGGGTTTGTTCGGCTCAAAGAAGAAAGGGCTCTGCGGAGACTTCAGTGCAGCCTTCCAGTACTTGGAGAGCTTGCAAGCAGGAGGAAGACTGACTTTATGCACTGTCTGATAGTGAGGGGACAAGGAGGGGTGGCTTTAAACTAAAAGAGGGGAGATTTAGGTCAGGTTTTAAGAAGAAATGTTTTATTCAGAGGGTGCTGTGAGGCACTGGAACAGGTTGCCCATAAAGGTGGTGGGTGCCCCATCTTTGGAGGCATTCAAGGCTGGGTGGGGTGGGATCCTGGGCAGCCTCATTAAGAGGCTGGCACCCATGGGATGAACTTTAGATCTTTAGGGTCCCCTCCAACCTAAGCCATTCTGTGATGGGATTCTGTGAGATCACAGCAGGTGACTCAACGCTTCTGTATCAAGGATACATCGGCAGATTTTTCTTCTTCTTATCATCACTTGCAGCATGTTGAAAACGGGGAAGCACTGCACTGCTTTCTGTCTTCATTACGATGAGAAAAAATGAATGCCATCTGTGAGACAAGGGAAATTTTAGATCAGGCTTTAGGAAAACGCTTTCAGCTGTACTGCAGAGCCCAAGTAGATGTCCAGCGATTTACAAGGATAGATTAATAGACATCTCTCAGGCCTTGTTTAATAAGGCAGACCTGCTTCGAAGCAGGGAGTCAAGCTGGTGCCTTGAAGCCCTCGTGTCTGCTTGGAGAGGTTGTGCTGCACGCTGCTACTACAATGCAGAGCTGCTGGATCTTCTCCAGCAGAAATACTAGAGGGCTGGTCTTCGGAAGTGCTGACACTTTGAAATGGATAACTTGCCTCTAAGAGACCATTTAACCTCTCAGGTAGGTGGGTGATCCGAGCCCTGTAGCCAACATCCTGCTTTTATTGCTCTCTTATCCCAGCCTGAATGCTCCTTGCACAGAGGGCTCCCAGCACAGCCAGCTCAGTCCCACGCTGGTGGCTGCTGTTGGGTGAAGTGCACACTGAGCACAAATGGGTTCTGTGCTGTTGGGTCTGGTGCTGAGATTTCAGCCATGGAAGGGCCGTGTGTTCCCATGACACTCATGGTGGTGTTGGAGCCCTGCTGGTTACTTCACTGCTTACTTTCCCATTGCTGTTTTGTGTTTACGTATCCATAAACAGAAGAGGAGCAATCCCACGTTTTCTTGCTCAAATGTGGAAACTTCTGAGGCTTCACAGAAGTGTTGTCCTCCTCTGCACTGACCTCCCGCCTTCAGCTTTTGGGCTTTTCTTGTTATCCTTCCATTGAACATGCTCATTATTTCCCAAAGAGCAGCAACGTCTCAAGACAAATAAGTGTGTGGCAATATTACCACACGGAACACAGGCTTTCCTTGTGATCTTTCTGCAGACAGCTGTTTTATATCTTCTTTCATGCCAACTTCAAAAGGAGGGGAGAAATTGGTTTCCTACTTAACGCAGCCTTTCAACTTCTGGACAGTTGGCTCAGTATAATCCATCCCCTTGGGATGCACTTACTGCACCAACACACGAGTTACACTTTTAAAAGGCTTTGTGTGATAGAAGTTGTGCTGTTTTGTAAGTTCAATGTCCCAGACTTAGTGTGTAAAACCTTATATTTGCTCCCCCAGCTGTACCACCCTGCAGCCTGTCCTTCTTAGGCAGTGTAAACAACTTCCTGCATATGCAACATCAGCATTTTTTGCCCTTCCTCTTACTAAGAACTAAGCGTTGTTGTTCTTTTTTTTTTAACCAGCTCTCAGGTTGTCTTCTGTCCAGCCATCTCCATTGCTTTCTGACCGTGGTGTTTGTTGGGTGAGCAGGCAGTAGCACTGAGCTGGAAGGAGCAAAGCAAATCAGGGTGTGCATCCTTAGAGACTGGCACTCCTGCTGCTTACATGTGTGGAAATCCAGCAGCCTTCTCAGTGTCAGAAGTCTCGAATCACGTCTCAGAAAGGATTTTCAACCTTTTTTCATACTGAGGATTTGTCCCTTTCCCATCTCAATGCCTGCTTCTCATCTTAGATCTCTTGTCTGTGCTGTCTCAAGCGCCTGCTATGATGGCAGCAGTCAGCATTATGCTGCCTGGCTCCCTTTGCTGTGCTTGTTGGAAGCAGAGCTGTGCCTGCTGAAGCAGCACAGGGTGAGCTAAGGACAAAGTGGGCACGTCCTGCTCCAGACATTTCCCATGCAGAATTTTGACGAGGCTGGGAATCTTGTTTGTGTCAGCCAGCGCTGGCGCTCCCTACATCAGTATTGCCCTTTGCAGATAGGGATTTAAAGGTGGCAAATTTTAAACTCAATGCGAGAGGGCTTCTGAAAGTGCAAAAATTAAGACCCAGCCAGGTTATTTTGCTAGTTCTTTCTCTAAATTTCTTAAGCTTTCCTTCCCTCGGGTCTTTCTGGGGCCCTGGGCCACCTGGTCTACTGTTAGATATGGAGGTTGGCAGCCCTGCATGCAGCAGAGAGGTTGGAGCATCGTGATCTTTGAGGTCCCTCCCAACCCAAGCTCTATTCTATGATTCCTTTGAGATTTTCTCTTCCTCTGCCAGTAGTAATAGCAGCTGAGTACCTAAAGAAAGCCCCTTAAAGCCAAATCCACACCAAGAGCTGGGGCTGAACTCGGCAAACAGTGGAGGAGGGAGAGCAGCTCTGAGCACAGAGGACAGGGCTGCCCTAGGTTTCCTTCTGACCAGTTCTCATCACCTCTTGTGTGCAAAACCAAGAGCCAATCTGATGGATATCGAGGAGGTGTCTTACAAAGAGATGCTTTCTCATTTTCTGCCCCATCCCTTATGACCTGCCTTACTGATAGCTGAGTTTGGATGCAGTGATGCAGGCAGGGTGCCTGTGCTCTAGGACCCAACCTGCGCCATGGGAACCTTCTGGTGATGGAGCCTGTGGGTGTTTGAGATGAGCTTGGAGGACAAAGCCAAGCCAGATGGGTGTTCACTCAGTTGTATGGTGACTAACTCGCACTGTAGATCCACTTTGGTGATGAGACAAAGCCTATAGATAGTAAACATTCCTCCAGCTTTTAATTGTACCTGTGCAAGTTGGGGCTGAGGCTTTTATACAAAAGATTGCAAGAAGAGTGCCCTGCAGCTGCCCGTGCTGTTTCTTGTTACATTGGCAATCAGAAATTCACATTTCATTATTCAGACAAATGTTTTCCTAAGAGCAAGCTTTGAAGGAATG